GTAGGGACTAGATTTGTATTATGTACAAAATCTAAGCCCTCAATATGGCAATTTTACCCTTGGGGTAAAAAATTTAGAAAGAGTTAGGGAAAAAATGGAGAAATTAAAGAAGAGAAAGAGATTAGAAACAAGGACAAAGGTGGACACACAAACTTTGGGAGAGTGACACAGAAGACTGGAAAGAAAGAAAGAAGAAAAAAATAAAATAAAAAATAAACAAAACAACAAAAAACTAGAAACCACGTTCACCCTCACATAAAGACAAGAAAAAGCAAAACAAAATAAGCAGCAAGAGATAAGAGACAGAGAAAAAGAAGAAAATAGATGTCCACTTCAAAGTATGTCTCTCCTGTCACTGGAACACAACACGGGCAGACAGAGTCTAGACCTGAGTTAATGAATCCCAGTAAATGAGCTGTAGCTTTATGGCGGGGTGGGGGATAACTCCCGTGAGTCTGTCCCAGTAGTTCCACTGAAGTTCAGGCTGGTTTCTGGCAGTAGTGCTGGGACCAGACTTGTTCAGGCTGCAGCTGTCTCTGTGTGCCCTTGGTCGGTTTGAACCGGCTTGCTGCTGGGTTGAACCTGACCTCCTGCCGACTTGAACTCAGCTCCCTGACCCCGACACAGACTCACTAGATGGAAGCAGCTGTTGCTGTGAGTTCTGAGCTCAGCTGGCCCCTCTCCAAGATGCTTTCCAGCCACATGTTCCCTCCTGGTGGAGATCTGCACCCAGCCAGCTCACTAGCCAGTGCAGTCTGCAGCGTCACCGCTCTGCTCCCTGATGTGTCTCCATGGAGGCCCCCAAGGTCACCAGCAGCCACCGTGTGTCTGCAGGCTCATGCCCTCCCACACGGTGTGTTTGGGCACAGGGTGAAAGCACCACATGCCTGCTCCTTCATCTCAGTTGAAGTCTCTCTTTCCCTTTTCCCACGGGCTTCAGTTCTTGCTTCAGATCCTTCCGAGATCCTGGGATCCCACCTCCCAGCTTCTCACACTGCTCTATTCCAGTGTATGGACACCAAATCTCAGAGAGGCTTTTTCTCTGCTGCTCACCACTCTGCCATCTCGCTGACTGCTCATTTGTGGCCTTTGATTCTGAGGGAAGCTGACCCCTGCACAGCTGATATGCGAGTTACAGCTGCCTCTGCCACCTCTAGTCACGAATGTGTCCATTCAGTGTGTACAGACATTATTATTGTGAATCTCCACAGCAGGAAAACAAAGCTCAGCGAGGTTCTCTGTACACACATCTACATGAAAGATTTAAGGCTAGGATGTCCATGTGTTTGGTTGCAAAGCCAGGGCTGTTTCCTCTACACAATAACTGGAGCTGACCTCTGGGCTCCTCCCAAGTGAGACAGGAATAAAAGGCGGAGGAAGCATTCACCAGCCCTCTCTGGGTCCCTCTGGGCAGGCAAAGATGGTCACCAACCTGCTTCTTGTCTGATGTTCTCCTCTTTTTGGCAGCACCAGCCCAGTGTCCTCCCATTGCTCCCAGGTCAGCCTCTAACCACTGCCTGCTCGCGGAGCTTGTGTCAGTGCTTCCTTAATTCCACACCCCAAGACACTCTTGCAGATACATGATTACGAAATAGTGGTCAGATGCAACTGCATTAGAGGCCACTCCAGCCCAGATGTGTTCGTGTGACATATACTCTCTTTAAACGTGTTGATGTCTCTCTATTTGGACTTTCCTGAACTGCATCTCCCACGGCCCCAATTTCTCTTCCCCTATAATCGCTGTCTTTGTCTCTGGTACTCGGGACTCAATATTTAGCAAAGTCTCAAGATAAGCTTACTGAAGTCACTGTATATGGAACTCCACCTGATTTTTGAATTCTTGCTGTGGTTTTGCAGCCATGGTACAAAGCAATTCTGAGGCAGGATCCATGGTTTTCTTTCTGCATGTCCTGCTGCAAAGCTCTGGTGTCTGTTATGCAAGCTGCGCGCTAACAACAGAAGCAACTGAAACCTGGCATCTCGCCTGCAAGTCTCTCGCTAAGCCTTGCTGCCAGCTTGGAGGCAGGCGCCTTTTTATTTCTGGTGAAGGTGGGGATTATCTTTTCATTTCTCTTTCTAAAAACATCATGGTTATACTTTTCTGCTGGATGGTTGTACTAATATTGTCTAGACTTTGAACGAAATACCATATATATTGAAAGAGACCTTTTTTCTGTTTCTGGCGCAGTGCCTGGTACTTGAGAGATGCTTAATACATCTGTTTACTGAGTCCATTCAGTTCAATAAGCATCTCTTGAATGCCTACTGTGTGCAAAGTTTCTTTGTAGTTGAACACTCTAGGTGTGCAGAAAACCCCTCTTGTACAAGATCTCAGTGGCTGGTCAGGGCAGCCTAGAGCTAACGTTCCTTGAGTGAATGGGCTTCCCTAATGTCCTCAAGATTTTATTTTAGTTTCATCTTAGACACTCCCTGGAAACTGGATTTTCTGGATAGGGACCAAACCCTGCAAAGCCAATGCTGTACATAACTGAAGTCTAAGCAGCTAAATAAGAAGGAGATGCATGGGGCAAAATCACTTTGAGACAAAGATGTATTAAATGAACCATTCACCACAGCCAGGATTGAAGTTTGGGCCTTGACTGTGGTTCAGGCCTGGCTCTTGAGAGCAGAGGTGCTACCCCCTCTGCTCTGGTCTGAATAAGAATACTGCCCAAGCGCTGGGGAGGTAGCTCAGTAGAATAAGTGCCTGCTTGTCAAGTGCAGGGTCCTGAGTTCAATCCCCAGTACCAAAAAAAATAATAATAATACCACCCAGCGCAGGCCAGCTGTGGGGGGAAGACAACTAGAATAGATAGGAAGAAGCCATATTCAGTGCCCCGTGGAGAGGGGTGATGGGTCTCAAGGAACTTACAGAAGAAGGAGGGGGGTCCTGGGGATCAAACAATGGTGGAGTGTCACAGGGTCTCCTGAAGGGGCAGGGGTGTGCACACTGGTCCCAAGAGTTCCTTCTACTGTGCTTGGTCAGGCCTTGTCCTTCCTCACCTCCTGTGCCAGAAATGCTCTCACTAGGAGTCGGTGATGCTTGGCACTTTTGCTTCACCCATGTTGCTTCCAAAAGTGACAGTCACCTTAGATACCAGAGTCCCTAAAGGTTTCCTACAGTTTTTATAGCAGAAGATCAGGGGGTTAGCCAGAGCTAATGCATTTCTACAAAGTTTTATATTTTAAAATTAACTCAGCGTTTATGTCCGACATCATGTCCTATTTATTAAATAAAAATGTTTTTCTCCATTATTACTAGACAAGAGGAAGTTAGTGGGGAGAAGGGTACATATGAGAGCAACAAGGTGGATGGAGATGATCAAAATATGCTGTATGCGTGTATAAAAATATGCAATAAGGAAGGAAAAAGGAGTCATTTCTAGGAAAAAGGGTGCACTTTGAGTTAAGTGAAATAAATCATGAGAAACTTGAAGTACAAGTAAAGGGAAAAATAAGAGCTAATAGGGAACAGGGAGACAGATCTTTTGCAAATAGGAAGGGGCCCAGGACAGGGAGGGTGTAGTGGAGGAGGAGATGGGGAGGAGACGCAAAAAAACTAAGATGTGCTGTGTGTGTGTGCACCTACTTCTCATGAGAAATGTAATCATCATATAATTCAAAACATACCAATAAAAATAAGGGCTCGTGGTATAACTCAGTAGACTAAGTGCCTGTTTAGGCAAACCCCGGGGTTTGATCCCCAGCACTACATGCCACACCAGCCCCACCCCAGAAGCACTAAGTCAGCGTGGTGGTGCACACCTGTAATCTCAGCACTGGGGAGGCTGAAAACAGGAGGATCACTAAGAGTTCAAGCTGCACAGTGAGACCCTGCACAAATTTAAAAAGAAAAAGCAACCGAAAAATAAGAAGAAAAAACAAAATGCCACATTAAAACCCACTTTTTAATCAAAGGTATAGGCACTAATAAAATATTTTACCTTTTTAAAAAGAGGTAAGGGCTGGAGAGATAGGTCAGTGGTCTAAGCACCTGCCTGGCAAATGCGAGGACCCGAGTTAGTTTGACTGTCCCACGCCAAGCTGGCCACTGAAACCAGGCGTGGTAGCGCAGGCCTGTAACTTCAGTGCTAGCGAGGCTGAGACTGAAGGGTCACTACAAGCTGCATAATGAGACCCTGTGCCAAATAAATAAATAAATAAATTTAAAAATAAAAAGAGGTAAAATGATAAAAATCTAAATGGCAATATTAAAGATGGTTGTAAAGAAGATCAAACAAGTGGAAAAGCAAATATTTAAATTTAGAGTTGTAATAAAACCTCTCACTGATCAAATGTCAGGTATCCTTCCTAAATTTTTGAATAAAATTGACACTGTAGGAAAGCACAGCAGGTGTGCTTCGGCGCTGGGCATATGACCCCTACTGCCGCGTGCATCTGGGATGTGCACGGCCGTGTGGGGAGATGCTACTTAGCAGAAGCCCTTTTTGTCATGCGGAAGGCTGTCACCTGCACCCTAGACTCTTCAACGCCTCACTGTCCAAATTCTACCCTCAGTGTGAGCCCCACAGCAGTGTCGTTTCCTGCTTGAAGTCATCGGAGATTTTCCTTGAGCTAAAAGTCTCTTTGCCCTTTCGAAAACTGTCAGCTCTTTCTGTGCACATCACTTAGTTCTGGTCAAGTTCTACCTTGCTAGTCTTTTGCTTTCTTCCCTTGTGCTATAAGAGTGTGATTTCTTGCTGTATTCACCATGGCAACTGCCACTTTCTATACGGTAGGTGCCCAGCAAGGCTGAACATATCTTCAAACTGATAATGGTGGTGATAGCGATGAGTAATTTAATATCATTGTTGGATTAATGAACCTCTACTCTGAGGTTCATCGTGTTTGGCCACAAGAAGTCTACTTCTTGCCTGGTAAAGGAGTGGAGTGTGCTGCCTTCGGCGTCATACAGCTCACCTTGCAAGAGGAAAGGCCTGTCACGCAGGCTGAAAGGATTCCCCAACCAGAGAGCAACAGCAGTAAAATCAAGATCGTACCTTAATGTTCTCTTCTGGCCAAGAGTTCAGCATTGTGGCAATGTGGCCCTTGTCGTGAATGGTGATAAACAGCCCACTAGGAGAAACAAACACACGCTGTCAGAGAAACCAGGCAGTTAGACTGCACAGGAACCGAGCGAAGCCCCAGCGCATTGGGTCTTGCAGCCACCTGATCATGGAAGTGAGCGCTGCAACATTTATTTTTCCCCGTAGACCTGGGCAAGAGGGATTCCTCATCACAGCCTAAAAGATTAGAAAGCCCCATCCTGGCCTGCAAATGGTTCCCTCCATAGTGCCCGGAGCCCACGGGGCCAAGAGCTGTGTCCAGCTGGAGTTTGTGTTCTTCTGCATCTGTGGCCCACTTGTCTTCCTCACTCTGGACCAGGCACTGAGGACTCCAGACTTCCCTGACTAGATGGGCCTACAGCTGCTGTAGAGTCTCTTCTCCAGACTCCTTTCCTGAGGACAGATTGTACTGCGGTGTCTGGAGCCCCCGGCCTGAGGCTGTGAATGGATCGTGCACACGTGGTGTGGGATGTCCAGACATGGTATGGGGTGTCCACATGTGGCGTGGGGTGTCCACACATGGTGTGGGGTGTCCGGACGTGTAGGGATCTGCTGAGCTCTTGCTGTACCCCAGGAAGAAACAGTGTCGAGAATGAAGGAAAGATCACGAGACAAAAGCTGGGTCAAGTGGAGCTCCCCTCCCTCTTGAGTGAAGGAGAGGAGCTGCCCAGGAACATTACAGCCTTTATTCATCCCCTAGAGAGGACATCAAGCTCAGCCTCTCTTTGGAGCCATCAGCCTACACACTGCAACAGCGTGCTTCGAGGAGCTCCGTGTTCTGGGGCCGGCTTCCCCCTGTACATGTCATTGCTTTCCAATTTCAGTGGCCCCAGCACATCTGTAGGGAGCCCCTGAATGAAGATGCAGCTGGGATGGGAGAGGGTGAGATGCCAGACATGAGACAGTTTTCTTTGGACCACTGTACTCTGAGAATTCAAAATTTAAACTCAGTTTTCCAGCCCATCAAGTACAGGTATGTTTGTAAAGACAATAGACTGCATTTTATTAAACAGGCTCAAAGCTTGAGTTGGAACTTTTAGTGTTTACATGTAAACATGTATGAGGATGTGAGTGAGTCTTCAACCCTAGGGTCGGAGCGAGACAGTGTGCACCTGTGGGCTGATGCCTTCCTCTCACTCCTTCTAGTAGATTCCACATCAGTTTCCCCCATCCCCAAAGCAAGCCAAATTTGTCATCCTCAAGACAAAAATAAACCTTCAGCTTCTGGTAGTGATGCAGTCATTTGGACAAAATAACCTTTCTGCAGATACTAATTACAGGATCATTCATTTCTAAAAACCATATTATTGT